GCTGGCAGGAATATTCCACATCTTTGTTTTTTCTGATATGGTTTGAATTCTGTCCATGTAAGGGACGCTGGACCCGTTTTCCAGCACGTGTCGCTCCCCACCAATAGATGGAGCCTCCCCCCAGGTGTTAGTGGTGTCTGCTCTTATCAGCACCACTAGCACTGACGGGGGCGTGTTGTTTCAAAAAAAAAAAAAAAAAAAAAAAAAAAAAAGATATCAAATACTCGTATGAGTGAAATATCAAATCATCGCTCTAGGACTTATCCTACAAGCTGGAGAGACAGATTATAGACTTTACCAATTCGGAGTGTGTACCTCCAGGTTTAATAGTTTCATTCGACAAGGGGGAGATGAGGGATGTTCCGGCTCATACTCCATATGGGTTCAGAAGGCACATGTTTCGGCGATTCTTAAGGAAGTATCTATGTGCGGGGGGATCAGAGATTTGATACATACCCTTTTTCTGAATTTTGGGAAGTAGCGGCTTGACTTGGTTTTATATCCACGAAGGGCGCAGGCAACGTAGGGTCAAAACTGGGGATATGGATGTTGAGCAGCCAGAGGCATGAAGGGACGAGGAGTTACGGACAGATGTAATGAAGATGGTTGCTGGAATTAACTGATGATGCACTTCAGGGTGATGAAAACCATTCGGATCGGTATTCGCGAGTGGTTGTGATGCTAGTATGAGTTGTGAATCTCCTATTTTGCAGTTGATTGTCCGCCCTCGTAAAAAAAGTGCAAAAAGTCTTTTTCATAATGACCTTCTTTTGTGTTAAGGAGTTTTTTGAGTGTGATTGGGTCTTTCTTGGAATCTGCTTGTACACAGAAGGCTGTGCTCTCGCTTTTTTTAATCTGAGATTGTTTATTCATAGCATCCCCGGAATAAAATAATTTCCTTATACTGTACTAATTGCGTTGCAAACATATGAGCCACTCCTCTAAACCATGATCCGGCTCATCATTCATTGTACAGTAATCGGCTCAGTATCCTATAGCACTCATGGGAGTTGAACTTGTCGAATTTTATGGAAAAGTGGTTTTGCAACTCCTGGGTTGAACATTTCCAATCCGAATGCCATTTCGTACAGATCATGGAATTCAGGTGTTTTGTATATAGCGCAGCCGGGTTCAATGGGTGGTTCGCTGCGCTGATCTGTGCGGTAGTGCTCTGTCAATTTAAACACACACACACACACACATGCCACACACACACACACACACACACTGTCTGGCGGAGGGTAGAATGGGGGGTCCCTGCTCTAACCTTAGAGCGGCGTCCTACCTCCGCCCTACCCCGTCCTACCCCCAGCTCGACGGGGTAAAGTGGCCCCTGCCAAAGAGGGCCAAGCCAAGCAGGGGGAGGGAAACCCCGTTTCGGTGGCATGGGGAGGTGCCCCTGGCAGTCGGGAACCACCCTGCGCTGCCAATTTTTTTTCCCGATTTTTTAAAGAAAACAAACAAAAATGAAAACTCATGGGGGTTGGAAAATCGCGTTTCCAGCCGTTAGACCCTTTCGTGGGACCGGCGGCTAGAGGGAACCTGCCCGTGGGGTTAAGTGTGGGGGCCTGCCAGGAGGCACTCCTGAACAGCCGTGGTGGAGGGCACGGTGATGTGGGGAGAGAGAGAGAGAGAGAGAGAGAGAGAGAGAGAGAGAGAGA